GTAACGTTTATTTTATTCAGTTTCACCACGTTGTTTATAAATTATAGGATTCTCGATTGTACATTTACCACATACGTATTTTTCACATTTTAAATTAAGATTTTGTTCGTTTTGTTGCCTTTGCAAAATCTTATCTGGCATTCTCTCATGATGGTCACACGAATCTGTAGCTATATTTGTGATTGTTTTCGCTGGTCCTTTTGTTGCTCTTCTCTCAATTGAAATAAAAAAGATTCTTGCCTCGAAATTCCTTGCCCCGTTTCTTTATACAAAATCCAAGCATTTATCTCGGCTAAATCTAAGATATTAAAAAAATACCTGCAAAGACCATCTCCGTGATTTAGATTTTATGCAGTTATACTTTCTGGCCATTTGGTCGGTTACATCTACACCGAATTTTGTACTATTGTACAATTACGGGCATCACTTTTTTTTCAATTTTAACGGATGAATGCATGGAACCAAGTATCGGTGTCTTTTTATTAGGTTTAGCTTTGTAAATTGTCCGATTACAATTATTTGATCCGTATAAGGTTGTTGAGAAACGATTCGTATTGTCCTTTATCTGTCTCTCCAATTTTGGTAGCTCCCTTCCGTTTCCCCGAATAGTTCCAACAAGCGTGGTTTGTTTTTTGCTAAAAGTTTTGTCGCTAATGACACCTTTGTAAGAAACTTGTCCGTGGTAATATTTCTTCCACAGCCGGTGTAGGATTCTACTAATTTCAGGGTAACAAACTCCCCGAGTGGGACCGAAGATTCTCTCCCTTCATGTTTTTCCCAAATATGGGAAGCCGTTTACTGTATATTTGCTCTTGACAGCGGAAGCTAACCAGAATTTTATACCAAATTTGTTCGGTTTATTGAGCATGAAGCGTGTAAATCTAGAGTTTGCTTTCGTTGGAAACAATTGTTCATCTATAGATCGATACAGTCCTGGTTTATAACAGTTTTGACAGTTATAAACCTTGGTTCGTAACAGCTTGACTCGTTCTCAATGAATTTGCGCCAAACTTTGGAAATCAAGACGAATTTATCGGTTTATCGAAGGGTTGGCTTTGTTGATTTCTGTTATCAAACCGAACGAACCTTGTAACTTCTTTAGCATCGGAGAATAATACTGAACCTCATTTTTTTTTTT